TATTAACATTCGAACATTCCGATAATTCCCTCTTTAGTTTTACAATATTTTCGGCCTGAAATCGAGCTACCTTAATCTGAAAGTCATTTATATACTGGCATGTTAATTGACTTCCAGATTTGATATTAGAAGAATCATTTATTTATTTATATCAAATGGCAGGCGTTGTGAAAGTTATCATTAGCCCTTTAGTTAACTTCAGGCTTCACAGAGGAGGAGAAACATCAAAGTGAAACAAGTCGAGAGGGAGAGGGGGGACAGAAGAAAGTTTCAAAGATGTAAATGAGACAGACGCAAAAGTGGGAAAAGGTGAGGTGAGTAGTGGGGAATTAGTCGAATATGACATACAATGGAGTGATGGTAGTTTGAAGTGAGAAGTCAACTGCCAGTTAATAGACTTTTTTGCCGTATGAGTATACGTTGCCCAGGGTGCACCACGTGGAGGTAAGTCTATCGCACACCCCATTAAAAGAATCTTAAAAATGCATTTTACACTCGTTGTACAATCTGCGGAGACAGGGGGAATATAGCACATTTTCAGAGACAACCTCCATAATTCATAATTCATTGCAGAAGAACAACTGCTCGTGAATTGAAACATACTTCCCCGAAAAATGCTAAATGATTGCACTCAGTAATGAAAGTACGCCGGTTTATACCGGCGTACTTTTTCCTTCGCTTATAGTTAGTTCCAAGTATGGTTCTGAGTATAAAAGTTCAAAGCCTCCTTTCACCTCAAGCACACTATATATAATTAATATTATTGGAGAGAGCTGGCTATTTACATTGAATACAAATAGAGGTAATACGAATCTTGAAATCTGTCTTTGTTCAGTATTATAATTAGTGGATTTCCCTCTAATCAATGAGGTTGGCTGAGTGTCGACTCCTGGCACACGTGAGTCAGATTCCAATTAATTTTTACCATTATAACTTGCCATGTACGAAAAGAATAAATTTTCTTTAAAACCAAGAGTTCATATTAAAATCTATATAAAGATAGCGTTGAAATTGGTTAGTGACTAATTGTACAGACCTGTTTAAGGGATCAGCAACAGGAGTTTCTTTGTTTACAGTACTACAACGGTGATCTAGCATATTACCAGTAGTATCTAATTTGCTGTTGCACATTTTAGAGTGTAGTAATGAAATTTGATTTTCTAGTTTGACCACATGTTCGCCAGTGGTTCACTAACAAGTCAATGGCCAATATATGACTCTTGTGGTGCTAGAACCCAATGATGATTCCATTAAAAGGCGATAAGAGTGATTCGAGAATGTCCATAATTCCTTAACATCCAACCTTTTAACAATTTCTATGTTTATTTTGGGAATAAAATAATAAACGTCTTAAACTTATTATTCTGTAGCTAGGAATTTAGAAGACTTAACCAAATTGAAACAAGTGCTGTTTCAGAAACTAGGGGGTATTCTTGGGTAAGCATATTTCAAATGCCTATCCCACCCCACCCCACCTCCCCATCCAAATTTCCGAATTTTCCGTAAGTTTCCGTAGGCGGTTATTTGTGCCAAAAATAGTTCCATGAAACGAAATTTCCAGTTTAATCCCCTGGGTGAATTTTCGGCAAATTCCATTATATCCATATTCTTGGCCAACTTATTACTTTAATTTTTGTCTGTATCGATCGTCCCTTGGGATCAAGTTGAATTAAAAATGACCAGTGGGAATTTCATAGCGGGTGCTAGATCTGAGTCACTTTTTTTACAAAAGTACATCAGGTAGTATTGGGGGTGGGGGGGGGGGAGGGGTTGTATTTTCCATATAAATTCAAATTTAAGTACAATAGGTATAACCTATCCTGGTCTTGACACTCTTTTTTTTCAAAATAAAAGGAAAAACGAATTCAAAATTCTTCTTTTTCCTCCTCCTCCTCCCTCCTTAGCATGAAAAATCACATTAGATATTTGCCAGGTCTCTTTGCAATTGTCTCCTTTACTCTTCTCTCCGGAGTGCTCCCGTTTGATTGCGGTGCCCTCTTCAGTAATCAATGCCAGAATAGCTCCTATAATAAAGAGTTGACGGGCCTTATTTCAACAGCGTCACTTCTTTTCTCGATGTCGCTCATATTTTGCTCCATCAACATCATCAAGGTCTACAAAATCCTTCAAGCTTGTGAATTTTTAACTCTCGGATCGGGAACAGTGCTTATGGTCGCTGCTGTGGGTCAAATTTTTCATGGAAAAGATATGTTAGTTGCGGTTATGGCAACAATCTCAATGGCAATGAGTTGTGAACTTGTAATCTTTATTTCATTCGATCATTTAATCAATCACTTTTTGTAGATTTTATTATAATTATTTGTTGCTTAGAGCATGCTCTTATTCTATTTTAAAAATTTTCATTTATACAATGCGCGGATACGAAAATCGATAATGGAGGGGG